TATTAATTTAAAAATTGAGAAATTCTTTCAAATTTAAATCTTGTACAAGAACTAGAGCAAAAATCAGTTTGATGCATATTTTATCAATATTTTAGAAATCGAATTTTATTTATCACCAGTACTGACTTCAATGGATTTCATTAAATTCCTTTGAACACAACTGCTCAAAACAGTCTAAATTTATGAAACCTACACATACAAAACATTATTACTCTGAAATGTTTAATGTAAATGTTAAGTGTAAGTGAAATGTTAAGTACTGTAAGGTCTTTCATGACACTACATATCCTGGGGTGTGAATTTGATAGGTGCTTGATATAAAATAAATGGTGCTTTAAAAAGTCCTTGAAAGTCCTTGAATCTGGTGTTCATGAAAGAGTGGGAACCCTGTCTGAGAGAGAGAGACAGCCTTGTTTTCGACTCAGCTCTCTGCTGATTTAATTGCTATGCTGATCACATATAGCTTGAAATTAGCAAACACAAAGTCACTTATTGTATTTCAAAAATACTGATTCTTAGCCATGTTGATTGTGCACACATTAACAAGTTCTTTCAACTGTAGACCTCAAAGCGACAATTACAGTCACTCAGGGTATTGATTCTCCAAGAATTGTATATATTTAAGTTTATAACTTCAATAACCTGAAGTTGCTCCAGGGCCACTGACCTTGCAAGAAGAGTTCCTTTGGATAAATATGTAGACTAAATGATCATTTACAAATAAGAAATGTGTATTTGTTCCTTTCCTATCCTTTGCTCTATCAGATATCGATGGACTGGGCAGCAGTGCTATTGGTGGTCAGCTGATCAGAAAGGCCTCGACACAGTCACCCTTCTCCTGCGACAAGAACGGCAGTGACAGCTTGGTGGCAGGTACAGTGCAAAAAACTCTGCTTGTACACACACATATACACACACACACACATTCACAAAGAGGTTATGGAGGTTTCTTTGTCAGCTTTCAGTTCTTTGCAGCATGTTTAGATAGGAATGGTCTCATTTTCTTGGCATTGTAGAAGGCAAGTCTGTCTGACGAGGTAACATTTGCAATGTGGTCCATGAAGTTTATGTGGTTCTTGGCTGACGTGGATAGCATTATCTGTAATCAGCCTAAATGAACAGTTGCATTAATTACTGAAGTGGCCGACAAGAAGACAACAAGTTGGAAGTGGTATTCTTTCATATAGACAGAGACCAGGCAAGCTGAAAAACATGCAGACATTGTGGGATCCTCTTTCTGGAATATCAATAAGAGCTGCAATATTGACCTGCGACAAGAACGGCAGTGACAGCTTGGTGGCAGGTACAGTGCAAAAAACTCTGCTTGTACACACACATATATACACACACACACACATTCACAAAGAGGTTATGGAGGTTTCTTTGTCAGCTTTCAGTTCTTTGCAGCATGTTTAGATAGGAATGGTCTCATTTTCTTGGCATTGTAGAAGGCAAGTCTGTCTGACGAGGTAACATTTGCAATGTGGTCCATGAAGTTTATGTGGTTCTTGGCTGACGTGGATAGCATTATCTGTAATCAGCCTAAATGAACAGTTGCATTAATTACTGAAGTGGCCGACAAGAAGACAACAAGTTGGAAGTGGTATTCTTTCATATAGACAGAGACCAGGCAAGCTGAAAAACATGCAGACATTGTGGGATCCTCTTTCTGGAATATCAATAAGAGCTGCAATATTGTCTGGGCAGCAGTGGTAGGAAAATCCATTTGTGTATTGCAAAAAGAAGAGGGGGCCAAGCACCGAACCCTGAGGTACTCTGGTGTTTAGCTGATGTGACATTTAATAAATCCAGTAGAAAGAGTATGCATAATCTTCAGTGACAGATAGCAACATAGTCTCTGTTGAATATCTGTACTTGTAGCTTGATTGATTTCTATCTAGCATGTTGTTTTCAGACCATGAAGGGGACCAGAGGGAAATGTCTTGAAAAGTTTGTGAGAATCTGAATTTTTGGGGAACTTGTCAAATCACAAGCATTTACAACAGAGGGTCAAGCTGTCACTGTCTCATCATGGCCTCATTCCTCACAGGTGTGGTATTTGCCCGCTATATCCTGACCGGCTGCTGGAAAAACTTGATCGACACGCTGTCCACGCCACTCACAGGGCGCATGGCAGGAAGCTCTAGGGGTCTCGCCTTTATTCTTGGAGCAGAGGGAATTAAAGAGCAGACTCAGAGGGAGAGAGACACCATCTGTCTCAGCCTGGATGGTCTACGTAAGGCTGCGGCACTCAGCTGTGCTCTGGGTAACAACGTATCTCATTCATTTCAGCCTGTTAATTTTCATTTCAGCTCACTTATACTGTTCCCTCACACATTAATCCTTTGCATACGGTCCATCAGAGTGGAAGATGGGACACTAATGGAAATGGTATGTCTACTGGGCTTTAATTCTCTGTGTTAGGTGTGGCGGCAAACTGTGCCTCAGCACTTGCCCAGATGGCAGCAGCATCATGTGTTCAGGAGGAGAAGGAGGAGAAGGAATTGGGGGAGACTGGAGATGCCATTGCTCAAGGTATTCACACACATTTCACATTATCATTGAGTGACATATTTCACTTTGCGTCATTGTATTCATTCACTGTGTAGGGATGCACCGATATCATATGGTACTGGGTTCATTGCTGTGCTCTTACAGATACCATGCAGCATATGTTACATACTGTAAATGTTGGCATAAATTGGCAGCAGAACAATATTCAGAGTACATGAGGGCACACAAAAGCATATATAGGAAAGGAACACACAAATTTGTATTACTTCCTTACAAGTTCTCATAACATCTTTAGTGCTATAATGAGAATATCTCAGGCCCAACATATTGTTTACTTTAACAAAGGATTGAATGGCATATTTTGATATATGGTTTCTTGGGGATCAACTATTTGCATTTGTTATTGATTAGATGAATAGGGGAGTTAACCAGTTTTAAAACGGTTAAGTAAAATTTATAACTTGCTATCCTTAGATCATCCGTTTAAACCCTACTGTACTTATATTTACTCGCCTGATGTGAACCTGCATGTGTCTGTGTTGTAGTTAAGCAGCGTGTTGAACAGAAACTCGAACAGATGGGCCGCTGTCAGGGCGTGAGGCTGCACACAGCCCATGTGCTCTGCATGGATGCTATACTCAATGTGGGGCTGGAAATGGGCAGCCATAACCATGATTGCTGGCCTCATGTCTTTAGGTACAACACTCACTGTTCATTCTTTGGGAACCATGATTTGATCATAGTGTCAAATCTTTACTAAAGTAATTATGGTAATCATGGTTACTCATTAATTGTTTGCAAGCAATCACAAATTTCAAGATTGCTGAAATTTGACTCTAAATATACACATTTTCTATTCAAATCCAGTAGTGTATTACATTTTTCTCATTAATGATGTATTTTGCTGTTGGTTGGGTTTTGCTTTTAATTAAATGGCATATCAAAAAGTAGAGCCCGACCGATATGGGTTTCTGGGGGCCGATACCGATACCGTTATTAGAGTGTAAAAAACGCCGATATCGATATATCGGCTGATATTCTTTGTGTATATTATAGTACAGTACCAGTCAAACGTTTGGACACTTTCCCATTCGTGTGTCCAAACTTTTGACTTGTACTATATATAGAATGCATAAACAGAATATATATACATAAACAAATTTTTTTAATTGATCACTCAAATGTGTTGATCAAACACTTATAATGACGTGACAAAGATATGTAATGGAGGCAGGGCATTAAACAATTTAACAATAAACAGTTTATTCATCGATTATCGATATGGGGGTGGTCTCATTCGAAAGGGGGCCTCGAGACGTACACTCGATTCGGCGTTCGAGAGGGTTCCTCGAGCTGAAGGGGGATCCCCCAAATTTGGTGAGGATCCGCCGAGCCGTTACAGAGATATGGCCATTCAAAGTTTCAATGGTATTCCATACACTTAAGCTTTAAAGCGTTTCATCTAGGCCGCCAATAGCAAACAATGGAGCGCGCTCTGCTGGACAAACTACGTAATTACACCATTTACAAGCATTGTATCTGCGTTTTATATTCTGTAAAATAAATCTTCATATCGGCGGCATATTCGCCGATACAATATATCTGCGACAGGCTCATATCAGCCTATATAATCGGCAAAACTATATATCGGTCGGGCTCTAATAAAAAGACTACATGTGACTTCACTTTTCATTTCAATACATTTGCTTTAAATCATTTCTAGCTATTTACTTTGTTGAATTTACTCCACTCAGAAATGTTCATATTTGCATCTTTTTTTAAATAAATAAAAATTTAAATGTATTATTATTATTATTATAAGTTTCAATGGTATTCCATACACTTAAGCTTTAAAGCGTTTCATCTAGGCCGCCAATAGCAAACAATGGAGCGCGCTCTGCTGGACAAACTACGTAATTACACCATTTACAAGCATTGTATCTGCGTTTTATATTCTGTAAAAAAAATCTTCATATCGGCGGCATATTCGCCGATACAATATATCTGCGACAGGCTCATATCGGCCTATATAATCGGCAAAACTATATATTGGTCGGGCTCTAATAAAAAGACTACATGTGACTTCACTTTTCATTTCAATACATTTACTTTAAATCATTTCTAGCTATTTACTTTGTTGAATTTACTCCACTCAGAAATGTTCATATTTGCATCTTTTTTTAAATAAATAAAAATTTAAATGTATTATTATTATTATTATTATGCTATGTTAGGCCTTTTAATTTATTCTCTTGATGAAGTTGAATGTGATTGCTATTAGTCCTCTTAAGATATTTAATGTATTGTTGTATTGGCTGACATCTCGGTAAAGAAAAGACCAATTTGTTTAGTCCTATCAAGACTAACATTTCCCAACAAATTCCTACACTGAGTTTGTTTTAATATTCCTCAGAGTGATTGAGTATGTCAGTTCACTGGAACACACGCACTTCAGTGACGGCGGCTCCCAGCCTCCCATCGCCATCACACAGGCGCAGCAGGCCGTGGCAGTGGACCTGGAGCTGGAGTTGAGCAGAGAGGCCAGTCCAGAGCTGGAACTGGGCCTCAGCCATCCAGTTATCCAGCCACTTTCCATCCAGGAACTCTTGAGAGAAAGTAAAAAGGGTAAAGGGTTCGACCTGCGGGGAGGCAGTCTGCTCACAGGCACCAGTGCCGCCAAAGCCGTCTGCATGCTTTCCACACAAGCTGACAGGTACCACGCAAAGATATTTATTTCACTGTCTGGAGCTGCCCACCTTTATTTTTCCATCTGTTTTTAGGGACTGATTTATCATAATGTTGATTAGGAATTTAATTGTAATTCATTGGTTTTATGACTAAAATGTGTTTAAACCGTGTGCAATCAGAATTTGTGGCCACCTAAAAGTAATAAGTATTGATTATTTATCAATAATCAAACAAGAATAACTCAAACGAAGTGGAATATGCAGTTCTGCTGGTGGTTATCTAGTTACGTTTACAAAACTCTAAATATCTTTCAAACCTTTGATTTCTACCTGGAGTTATATTGAAAATGGCCACTAGGGGGACCTGTAAGGTCATAATTTGGTAGGCATTTGTTGTCCATCCAGTGCTCTCTGTTAAGGCAAGTGAATATAGCAACTTTAAAAAAAAATGTTTATTAAAATGTAGAAGTCGGTGTACATAATATTATTTAGCCTTTATTGCAATGCTACTGTATGTAGGCTTTTTTTAAATGTGATTTCTATCAGTCCTGTTATAAAGGTATTTGTAATGTGTTTTTGTATTGGCTGAGCTCTCAGTAAGAAACAGACCAATTTGGTTATCTTAAAATTAAAACATGATCTTTAGAGGCACAGCAAGATCAACACTTACAGAGTTGGAATCTTCCTTTTTATATGTTGTAGCAATTACACAGTGAAGTCTGTAATTAAATAATTTGCACAAAGCCTTTAAAAGAAAAATTAAGAAATATACTGTAGGATGTTCAGTATCTCAGAGGAGAAAACCCTATAGAGATACCATTTGTTTACCTCTTCTCAGTGAACAGTTAATCTTTATGTAAGTGATGGGACTCTGTGCTGAACAATAAAACGGCTACTGACAGATGTTTCTAGCATAGGCACCAATCCCGTGGGTGCTTGAGCTTGGAATGGCTGAGTATCCACTGTAAAACACAAGATATTCTGCCGCCAAAGCCGTCTGCATGCTTTCCACACAAGCTGACAGGTACCACGCAAAGATATTTATTTCACTGTCTGGAGCTGCCCACCTTTATTTTTCCATCTGTTTTTAGGGACTGATTTATCATAATGTTGATTAGGAATTTAATTGTAATTCATTGGTTTTATGACTAAAATGTGTTTAGACCGTGTGCAATCAGAATTTGTGGCCACCTAAAAGTAATAAGCATTGATTATTTATCAATAATCAAACAAGAATAATTCAAACGAAGTGGAATATGCAGTTCTGCTGGTGGTTATCTAGTTACGTTTACAAAACTCTAAATATCTTTCAAACCTTTGATTTCTACCTGGAGTTATATTGAAAATGGCCACTAGGGGGACCTGTAAGGTCATAATTTGGTAGGCATTTGTTGTCCACCCAGTGCTCTCTGTTAAGGCAAGTGAATATAGCAACTTTAAAAAAAAATGTTTATTAAAATGTAGAAGTCGGTGTACATAATATTATTTAGCCTTTATTGCAATGCTACTGTATGTAGGCTTTTTTTTAAATGTGATTTCTATCAGTCCTGTTATGAAGGTATTTGTAATGTGTTTTTGTATTGGCTGAGCTCTCAGTAAGAAACAGACCAATTTGGTTATCTTAAAATTAAAACATGATCTTTAGAGGCACAGCAAGATCAACACTTACAGAGTTGGAAACTTCCTTTTTATATGTTGTAGCAATTACACAGTGAAGTCTGTAATTAAATAATTTGCACAAAGCCTTTAAAAGAAGAATTAAGAAATATACTGTAGGATGTTCAGTATCTCAGAGGAGAAAACCCTATAGAGATACCATTTGTTTACCTCTTCTCAGTGAACAGTTAATCTTTATGTAAGTGATGGGACTCTGTGCTGAACAATAAAACGGCTACTGACAGATGTTTCTAGCATAGGCACCAATCCCGTGGGTGCTTGAGCTTGGAATGGCTGAGTATCCACTGTAAAACACAAGATATTCTCCATCAACTTTAAATGTTCAAAAAATAGAAAATAGAGATTCGTTAATCTAATCTCATAGTGTGTCCCTGTGCGTCATAATATAATATAAAACAATGCAAAAAGGATCCACACACTGTTGTTCTCCCTTTAATTAGAAAAGTTAAAAGTGGCTACGTTTTTCCTGTGCGTAATAACAAATGCCTCTTTCGAGTGGCTACTTAACAGAGTTTTGTGCGTTCTGTTCATTCTCTTCCCAAAATCAACCAATAATGCAAACGTTGAATCAGACTCGTCATTATGATATTTACCTTCGTTCAATTCATATATCTGTGAATCTGTGATGTTTTCAACATTAAATAAAATAAAGACTATGAACTCTGATGTGAATCTTCAGTTTCAACAGCTCTGATAATTAATTAATTAATAACATGATATTCAGCCAGTGTTAACTTTATTATAAGAAAAAACACATTATTTTACCCTGTCTGCATTGCAAGGCACCCATTACATATTTTTCCTGTGTGTTAATGTCAGTATTAATGACTGCTGACTGTTTGATAACGTCTCAGGTAACGTATATAACCATGGTTCCCTGAGAAGAGAATGAGACACTGCGTCCTCTAGGGGTTGCTATGGGGGAACGCCTTCAGTGTGACCGGTGTCTGAAGCATACATCTAAGAACGACAATAACATTGGCCGGCGACAGCCTATGACGTCATTACCCTGCGCGATCACAGTATAAAAGGGCGCCAGGATAACACGTCATCCGCTTCTTCGTCTGAAGCTTGCGTCCGAAGTATGGCAAGGAAACTAGAGGACGCAGTGTCTCGTTCCCTTCTCAGGGAACCATGGTTTCATACGTAACCTGAGACGCTATGGGGAACGGTATACCCACGCCACCATGCTGAGGGGAGTGCAAGCCAGAAAACCACGGCAAGCACTAAGTACCAACTCTACCATAGCCATGGGAGTTGCCCCTAGGACGACATTATCCCCTCCGGCCAAGGGCCTGAGCTACATACCATAAACAACTTACCTGATAGTGGCTGGGCTAGAAAGCCCAAGCCTAGGGCAGAGCTCAAATGCTTAGAATTTGAAGAAAGAGATTCCTTTGAGGGGATACGGTCTAAAACCCAGACCCTGGCCTGTCACCCAGGGGGCTACTGCCGGCTCTGAATGAGCTCGCTCAAAGAAGTAACACCCTGCTCAGAAATGTATCAACAGAGATACATTAGTTGAGTGGAGCCCAAGGCGAGAACCAGGGCCTAAGCCAACTCGGAGGAAGGGAACGAGGCTAACAGCGTGCAACCCTTACCATACAGGATACTAGAAAGTGCGCAGAATGTTTAGCGTGCACACTTACCACAATGTGGATTTTAGTCTTTAGGTACAACTTACCATAGCATGGATTTAGTAACACCGTTCTTTTTTTGAGGAGAGAGAGGAACCCAGCTCGACCAAAGTGACCAATAGCCCAGGGTAGAGGACCTAACTCTCGAGTCCAGAGGAGGACTCAACCAGTCTGCCCAGGACCGGCGAGCTCAAATGGACCCTCCCGCATTGAGGGGAGCACAGCCATGTCCGGGGCAGATAGATTGCAAATGGGACATCAGAAATGGGATCCTGCTAGAAGGGGATCACACATTTCTAAGGGAACAACAGAGTCCTAACATAAAGGTAACTGACCAAGGAGGCAACAGACGGGCCTAACACTTCGTTGCAAATGGGGTCTTTCGGGAGCAGCGCTCTCGGCTCTCAAGCTGAGGTGGGCTCTTACAACACATACCTGGGGAGCGACTCATAGCTAGCCCTCACAGAGAGGGGAGCACTTCTCAGCTCGACCAGAAGGGGGTGCTAGATTAGAACGGGTAACCCAGCAGGGCCCAATAAGAGACAGTCCACTGGTGCAGCTGGACACGGTCTCATGCTCTCTATCTCGATAGAGAGCATGGGTCCCGTATAACCAGACCCGATAGAATCTGAAGAAATAGCGGGACCCAATAATCATTCATGCGTATAGAGCTTACTGTTCCTCAAAGCAGAAGCACAAAAGGGGGGTTTCCACAGAAACACATATCCCTCTTACCTCAGGGAACGCAGTGTACTCCAGCCCACTCCGCAGAGGGGTGATTACTGGTTCAAGGCCAAGGTAATGCCGACCGTCTATGGAGCGTTGAGCTCCTCAACACCTCAGCGAGAGGAGCTCTAGCTCAGAGAAGGGGCATGAAGGTTAAGGAACGACTCAAAATCTCGGGAGACCCCTCAGGGTGAGAAATGAGTAGCGCACCCTGGCCAGAGGATAGGGAGCATGTCGCGAAGCATGTACTCAGAAGAATACTAGCCCACGAGAAGGACCCGCAGGTCCTGAGGTTGCAGCGTTATACTGGAGACCTGATGCTGGGAGCTTCCTCAGAAGGCTGCGTGTCCAAGCCGAAGATGAGGGCTATCACCAGACTGAATCCAGAACCGATGAGTGAAACCATCACTGTAATCGGTCAACAGCAGGAGGTCCTGACTTAGCAGGTGGGTCAAACCTAAAAGTCAGAAAACAGAACAGGTCAGAGTAGCACTCCAGAGAAAGGCTAGCATCAAATATGCAAGAACTAGCAGTAGAGTAGATGAAAATGGATCATACTTACCAACCATGGCTCCCGCGCATGACTCAGGCCGAAGCCTGGACCTTCGTGGAATGAAGGATTTAAAGACTGAGCCTCCTTAAACTTCACGAACACCATCTCGACGGAAGTGCCGAAAAGCTCAGAAGGGGAAACCGGCACATCAAGAAGAAAGCCCTTCTCTTTCGGCCCGATATCCACCAGACTCACCCACAGATGTCTCTCCGTAACCACACTCCAGAGAAAGGCTAGCATCAAATATGCAAGAACTAGCAGTAGAGTAGATGAAAATAGATCATACTTACCAACCATGGCTCCCGCGCATGACTCAGGCTCATGGATATAGGCTGGAGGCGAAGTCCGAAGCCTGGACCTTCGTGGAATGAAGGATTTAAAGACTGAGCCTCCTTAAACTTCACGAACACCATCTCGACGGAAGTGCCGAAAA